GTTCCAGTTAATCTACAGCAAACAAACGTGGGATGCATACTATACAGTATGTCCTGCAGGCATGTTTCTTCATTGCACCACTCAACGCATCACCATATCAAGTTAATGCTGCTACAACGCTGCTTTACCAATTTGCAAACACTATAGCTGACCCACTGATACTCCTGAATTTCCATGAAATTCATGTTTTTCTGATCACTTTCCTGTGATGAAAACCATTATGGTCTCAGCCGTCCCCTGAGATCTCTTTGCCCTAAAGCAAACCTTACAGAAAATAACATCGGGAAGTGGCAAATCAGCAAATAGGAACATGCATAGATGCTGCTGCAGCTTTTTGAAAATAATGTTTCCCTGTAGGCTTCAGAACAAAATGCCCTGATAGGAAAAGGCTCAGGTACTTAAAAGGCTGCAGAGAGACACGTTCTGCTCACTATGCTGTCTGATTCCCCAAAGGTCCACTGAGGATTCCACATTACGAAAATAATCATATCTGCAGAGCCAGCCCTGAGGCAGAAGAAAATACATTGCTGTAACATTTCCATCTCTCAAACACACACCCGTGACTCAGTCACCCCCTCATAATATGTACAGTGCCGCCTGTTTTTCATGGACGAGAATCTTTTCTTGGACAAGAAGAGGACCAGTTTGCAATATCTGGAAGTCTACAGAACGAGGAAGGAAGATCAGATGTTTAAATGTGAAAAATAAAATAGCACAACCATAACATCATACAGTTGTAACTAAAGTTAACTCCCTCCCTCTGTGTACATGATTTTCCAGGGGAAAAGTAGGATCTGTACCTTTCCTCACAGCATGGACGTGCGGCGGACAGGCCCCTCGGATTTTAAAGGAAAGGGCATCTGGGCAGTCTGAGATTTTGACGATCCTAAAAAACAATCCATAAAAAACTTAGACATCTAAGGAGAAGCAGAGATTGCAGAAACCTTAAGTGTAACAGTTAACATAAAGCACACACCAGGCATTTCTCTCCCTGGTTTTACACAGCCAGATGACATTTGTTCCTGCTTCGGCTCCATCCAAATTGTGGGTTAAAACACTACACTTATTCTACCCTGAATCACTGGCTGAATGGATGAGTCCCTCAGATTAGGATGAGATACTGTATTAAATCAGCTGTATATTAAAACTGACAGACACAGGGTCACAATGTGGTATACTTTTTAAAGCTTTCTCAGAAGTGACCACATGCAAACTACACATGACTCCCACATGCTGAATAAATATATAAAATAGCTGAACAGGAACTGAGCTAATGTTTTCTTGGTATAGCTGTCACTTCTGCAAACAGCAATTAGAAATAAATACCACATAGAACATGTCTGTACCTTGGTGGACCCATGTTTTAAATAATTACCGCTGGATAAAAGCGGCTTTTATCTAAGAAAACTGTACATTTTGATCCCTTTTAGTTTGACAGATACAAATATTAATGAACAATGTCTATGTCTCAGAGTCTCACATACAGTGCTGAGTAAAACTTCAGATGGTAGGATGTTTCAGACTGTGCAATCCTATTATCGTCTATATTTTTAGATATTTTATTGGTTGTCAGGGAAAGTCAAATTGTTCCATGCCAAGACAACACAGCATTATTATAAATGATTATAAAAGCACATTTCATCTGTACTTTGCATTATATACTCACTGTTTCTATAATTATTTCCAGTGCTGTATTGGTGGTATTACAGGTCATATACAGTGCAATTTTTCTAGGTTTTCATTTGTAATTATTTTCAAGAATTGTTAAGCATTGTTTTCACTTGGAGGTTGTGTGTTACAAAGTGTAAATAAAGGTCAAATAAAATCCGATTTAATGCGTCTTGATTTAGGCTCTTAGGCTACGAAAGGTGTTACTTTAAAAAGGTTGTGTAGACTTTCGATATGCATTGTATGTATATCAGGGGTCTCCAGCCTCGCTCCTGAAGAGTTCTAATTCAGTAGCATATTAACTGTGATCAATTAAGCAAGTTATTTGTTAAACTAAGTCATCTGGAAATCGTTTGGAACAAAAATTGAATACCCAGTACATATGTACCTGTACTGTATATACAAAGCTTTTTCTTATCCCGTCTGCTATCTATCTGTGGTAAAAGACCAGACATTTCAGATACAGGTTCCGCACGGAGCAGATGGACATATTATTTGGAGACCTCTAGCTGATCCGGACCATTGTTACAAAATAATAACACAAACGAGGGTCATATAAAAGAGATGTGTGGGCTCAGACCTAAAACAGATTAAAGTGGAAGTCTGCTAACCAGAAACACAGCGGAAACGGGTGTCATGTGACAGAAGTCTGGTTTTCTTTGTTTAACTAGAGTCGCTTATTTTGCTGTCATTCTCTAGAACCCAGACGAGTATCATGTAGGTTGAGAACCTCAGTTTAAATCACACGACGGTCCTCCTTCCTGCCTGCGTTATGGTGTCGGCCTGCGGTCAGCTTCCATTGCAGCAAATAAAAAAGCACCAGTTACCAGCTCAATCTGGCCTGGGACCGAACGGCAGCCACTACAGCTCTAACATTTGAACGTTCACCTAATTGCCGTCAAGTCCTTGACTTCTGTAGGACTCTACATGCTGTTGGGAAGAGTCCGTGTGGGGTTGCCACGCTGTGATCTTTTGTTCTCTCGGTCGGGGCCTGTGCGCGGGCCTGCCGCTGAAAGGCGCCTCCCCCCCCCTCTCCTCCCTCTGAGACTCACTCTTTTGCCTTCGCAGCCACCAGCAGCCTGAGGGAGCGCCGGATGCAGAAGGACTGGTTTATCATGGTCTCCACCTCCTGGAAGGGCCTCAGGAACACCAGGTCCTCGTTGATGGTGAGAATCTTCCTGCCCACCTGCAGACCTGCAGTCTGAACACGGGGCGATGAGCAGCGGTTAAGAACAGTGAAAAGCAGTGAGAGAAATCTACATGCTGCAAGGCACTGTAAAACATTTACATGTTTGCTGAAGCGCCATGTACAGTAAATCTGACCATCTTCTGAAAACATCTGAATGCCGTTTCATACCTTTAAACATTTTCCATAGTTTATCCCCACTATGCATGTCTTAAGGATTGGTTGCATATTTCAAATCCGTTTCACATGCTTGTGTAAAACATTGCCAAATTTTCCAAGCCGTGTGACGCTGACAGTGGCCCTCCAGAAATGTTGATCTACATTGAGCCACAAATTCCACTTCATCCTTGTAAATTAGTCAAAGCTGAGGAAAGGCCACTGCAACAGCGATTAATAATGAACGGTTATGTGAAAAAAGCCATTCAGTCTCTGTCAGAGCGATATTAAGATAAGTGTGTAAAATATGTGGACAGATGGAATCAAGAGCATGCTGTATTTATAGATCACACTTAATATACAGTTACTTGTCAAAGTTGCTAGGACACGCATGACATGACAGATGACTTGCTTGGGAGTCGGTGCAATTTGCTACCATCTGCTTTACAATTTAGTTATTAAGCTCCATACATTTCCCTCCATCAGTCTGTAGCTGGAGCAGATTCCATCACAATACAATCACAGTACAGCACCCTGAACATTCCCTCTGACTGCCCCACTCTAAACTGTCATCCAATATTCACAAGGGATAAAAAACAGAAAGCAAATCCTAATTGTTTTAAATTTTGAAACCCTTGAGAATAGTTATAAAATTCAATTTCTAAGCAACAAAGTCTGGGGGGTTGATTCATAAAGTAAAAGTGAGACAAACTGAATTTCCACACAATATACTGTCAAAACACTACATTCACTGCTTGACTCGGAGGTCCTTATTCTTATTCTACCCTATTCTCACCCTGTCTTCAAAACAGTCGCGAAACAGCAGAAGCTGAGGTGTGAGGCAGGTTGGGAGATGTTTGAGTGATGGTTGAGGTGATAAAACAAGACAGCTAAATAAAAGAAAGTAGCGGGTTTCATCACTTGTGGAGAAATTGCCATGTTCACTGTTGCAGACAGAAGACATGTGTTACATGTGCGCTTGAATTACAGGTTTTGCGTCTTTACAAAAAACAGTTTGGGTGTTAATGCAGCTCCTTCATCTGTAGAAAAATCAAACGCCTCCAGCTCAAGTTTATATGCTTGTCTGTTCCTGGATAACAGATATAGTCATTAACCAAGAGAGCCCTGAGTTGGATAGTTATTTTCAATGCCGGAAAGAGCACAGGAGTACCAATCAACAAAGCCTAGGAGACCACAAAAAGGGATGAGCAGATTGAACAGTTTCAAATTTCAAGCCTACAATATTCTCCTCTGTCGGTGATAAGATTAGAATCCCTGATGAACCTGAGGCTGCATGAACAGACCACCAGGAAAGCTGCCGAGGTTCACTGTCTGACCTTCCTTCTCCTGGCGCGGATGTGCTGTGGTTGTTGTTAGCTTGTGATAATCAATAAACTCATTGTGCCAGTAGAAAAGGAACTATACCTGCTGTTCTGTAAGTCCACAACTTCATGAAGCCCTCCAAACAGAAAAATGTATTTGTAGGTCTGCCCAGAAATTCCAGATTCATCCTTGGTGGAGTAACTATTGATTTGCACTGCAATTTTGAATTGTGTTGCTCAATTCTACTAAGCATCTCCATTTAAATGAGACTAAAAGCCTAGAGCTGCTACACTAAACACTAAGTCTTTAGGATTTTGGGACATCACAGACCTTAATGTCATGACATTTCACATGATCATTTTATGAAAAGCTGGCAAAGGACTATAGCTCTTTGTGTACGCTAAGGCACAAACTGTGGCATCATGATAAAGTGCCTGGCTTGGGGAGATGGAGTATCTTGACCTGAAGAAAAGATAATGAATGCCTTGTTTTGCTTTATCCGGCCTCAGCATCTCACTCCTTTCCTCCTTTCATGCTTATCTGTTGTTGCTGTATGTCGCTTTAGCTGCCTAGAGGATGGCCCTTAGAAAACAACTTGTGGCTTTCTGAGGGAGCCATTTAGTATTCAGCTCTGTTCTTCTTTAAGCTTCATGGCCTTTCAACCAGGGCTTCCATTCAGCAGTCCCTTTAAAAGACAGAACTTGTCTCAGTAGGACAGTGTGGGTTTTGTTGAACGGGTCCAGGGGATCGTGTGAGAGACACCTGCATAGAAAAGATCTCCGGTGCTCTGACACAGCTCTCTCTCTCTCTCTGCTTCCACGAGAGTGAAACTGACATCACGGTTTCACGCCTCAGGCTCCAGGCGAATTTGAAATGGCATGTCTTATTACCCTCAGCGCATCTCAGGAAAATCCAGGGAGATGCTAAACACGTAGAGCAATCAGAACTTGACAGGGCAAGCTAACAAACCAGTGCATTTTTAATTATAGCTTGATTGTGTATCAACCTGTCTGGGAAGAAGTCATTCTAGAAGGGTTTCTGACACCTGAGTTATAATTAGGCACTTCACAGCTGGCCCAGAGGAGTTAAGTATTCCCTTAAAAAGCTAAAATTCTTCTCTACACAGAGAAAGCACTCTAACAAAACATAATATCTTTCAGGGGTGATATAAAATGTATCATAACCTCTTTCCATTTCCTTAAAAAGGCAGTTATTTAAATTAGGGTCTTAAAGATCATAGTCCTGCAGATCTTGTAGCACTCGATGAGGGCAACTGAACTACACTTCCCAGAAGACCTTGACTCCTCAAGTGTCACTGTGGTTCCTGCACACTCACTTGTCTGCTCAGTCATGTGAGTCAAGAATCATGGATATAAAGATAACTTAGTGCTGCGATAGGTGACCCATTAAGAGGGTCCATTCCAAGAGAACCTTGGAAATAATAAATAACTGGTTGTCATACCCTGGAAATTCCACTCAAACACAGCGGTGAGGGTAAAAGCAAAACAACATAGCTGACCAGGATTCCTCTCATTTTCTAAAATCTCTCATGCAAAAAACATTGTAAGACTTGTCAGCTTCCCAAAGAGTTTCTCTCAGTGAATGTGAAAACGATGCAACTCGCAGCAGCCCAATTACTCCAATTTGCATGGGGCATTGTAAGCAACATGAGGCTAGACTTTCATTAACAGTTCCGAGAAGCTCCGTCATGCGCCGAGAGTCTCACTGTGTACCGGCCCACCATCCCTTAGTGCCTCTTCTGAGTAACTGCCTCAAGTGTAAGACCCCCAGCTCATACTGTACCTTCCTCTCCACATGGTGATAGGAGAGAGAAAAAGGTGATAGAATATCTGTCTTCTCCCCTAATGAGTCTTCTTAAGTATTCTTCTGACCTATTTAACTTGCACTTCTTCTTTGTGAGCCTTCTCTCTCCTTTCTCCATTGTTGCTTACCTCTGGAACTGGACTCTGGACGGTGTCACTCTAAGAGTGAATTTTCCCCCCAGTTTGCCCTGCCCCTCTCACCTCTCTCCTACACTCAACTGGTGCTCTCCAGGGCTGTTAGGCCTTCATAACCACCATCATCCACTCTGGGTAAACAACTGACAATCTTTCTTCCAGCGCAACAGTACTCTGTGTGGGGATTACAGAGCCTGAATCATTGTTTCTGCCTTCATGTGGCTTCAGGTAGGGCTACAGGCCTCTTCTGATGCTGTCTTGCCACAGCTTGAACAACCGATGAGTAGAAAGCAGAGTGGCCTTGACAGCCCCTCATCAAACACACCACATTTCAAGACATTTAGGCCAAACATTCCTGAGGACCAGCCGAGTCTGATACCCACCTCAGCATGAGAGCCCCTGCGGACAGCCTTTACCACTATCGCCTTGTTCTTCTCCTCTATCTCAAAGCCGTAGTCTTCCTCCTGGGGGTGGATCTGGTGGAAAGAGGAAAGAAGGATTTACCCTCCAAACTCCATCCTTACTCAGGCCGTCCAGACTGACCGCCTGTCTGCCGCTGGCTAACAATGCAAAGGCTTCAAAACACTGATGGATTCCCCAATGGCGAAAATTAGTGTAATAACATTCCCAGATTCATTTTTTCCACAGTTTGGTTTATAACATAACATAACATAACATCACTTTATTATCCCTATATAATTTCTTGCATTAGGAATTAATCTTTTCACATACCCCAGCTTGCTCTCCATGAGATACACAGACAGGGAGAGAAGCTGGGGGTCAGAGCCCAGGGTCAGCCATTGTACAGCGCCCCTGGAGCAGTTGGGGTTAAGGGCCTTGCTCAGGGACCCAACAGAGTAGGATTCCTCTGCCGGCTGCAAGATTTGAACTGGCAACCTTCCAGCCACAAGTGCAGATCCTTAGCCACAGAGCCACAGCTCCGCCCCTATATACATATACAGATATATACAGTTTATATGAATTTTTGCAGCTGTTTTTAGAAAGAAACATGGATGCTAAATGCCATTTGAAATCTGTACAGCATATTCACCTAAATGTGTCAAAAATAGAATGGACTATATTTGGTTTATACATTTCACAAACAGCACTTATGGTTTATGGGAAAACACACTTACTTGTCACTATTTTAGGAGCTGTAGTACACAATAGCACTTCAGACCAGAAAAACATTGTACTTCCTCAGAGTGACCTAGTGCTCATTAGAAATCAGGAAATGTACTACTGCTCTTTTTAGGGATTGATAATTACTTTCATACTATGAATTTGCTTGAGTGAGAGACACGTAGGTATCATATACACAAAGTATCTTTCATTTTATTTATATGTATATGTAAAAAGAAGAATTAGAAGCCTCTGTTCATTTAAAATAAGCATCCTTCAATTTAATGCAGTGTCATTCCCTGGCTTGTTAAATATGATTTCCTTAAACTTATTAAAAGTGCACTGATATGATACTGTACCTTTTCATCACTTATCACCTGAACCCCTAACTGCATCACACAATGAGTAAAAAAATAAAGAGAATAACTCTTTAAAATAAAGTCCTCCGATATGAATTCAATATGAATTCAAATAAATATCATTACAATACAGTGCCCATCTGCTTCAAATTTTGAGAGGGAGATTCAGAAACATATACATCTCCAGGTATCCATCTTTCAGACCTGGAGACAAGCAAAGCTGTTTTATTTAGATCCTTATTCCAACATTTTACCTCAAATCAAAGGGGTCTGGTGAACCCCATGAGACATCCGTTACCTCCATTAACCATGACAATACCGATTTCTTTCTTTTCTAATTTAATCTTAACTGAACAGGATCACAAAAGGATGCTCTCATTGACAATGCCAGTGTTGCCAGTAACCACCAGCTGTCTTCCTCCTCCTGTGGTGCTCAGATAAGATGGGTTATCAGAGCCCTGTCGGTCACAGAAAAATCCGGAAACCAAGATCAGTAAAACAGCCACCACAGGACCTACAGCAATGATTACAGCAGTTTTAGATGGATCATTGTCGTGGCTGTTGAAGAAAGGAGCTAATTAATTAGTAGCTGGATGGCGTTAATCCACCTTTCATCACAAAACAATGTGCATCGTCTTTCCTGGCTAAATTCAGGCCCATTTTAAATCCTCCTAATGCACTGCAGATTTTGAACACAATGCTGTTTTTGTTTTCTTTCCTCCCTTTCTTTGAGCACCTGCAGTTAAATGCCAGATCCTGAATGTGTTATTAAGCCGAGAACTGACCAACTTGGAACCAAGGAGACTTTGGTGTTGACTGTCTGATAATTACATGACAATGCCGAGAGTTCTCTCCTCTCCGGTGTGGTTGAAAAGTGCACGGTTGAACCGAACAATTAACCAATGCTTTCCTTGTCAAACAGTTAAAATCAACCAATATAATATTTTCTCTCCATCCTTCAATTCCTGAAAAGAATCCTGTTTCATTTTTGTTTGGTTCAATTTTAAAATATCACAACGAGAAGCTCAGTTTCATTGACCACTTGGAAAAGAGAGAATGATGTAAACGTTGTGCTGCTGGGTACAAGAAAACAGAACAAAAAGGTTGTCCACAGGTCACTTTGCACCTTTTGCAGCAAACCAAGATGGAATTACATTTCAAACAGAATATAATTTTGTCAGAGCAGAATAGCCAGTCCATCCTTCGTGTTTTCAGTAATGATGGGCACTTGTTATGAATAATAATAATAATAATAATAATAATAATAGTAATAAAGCCTTATACTAATATCTCAGTGATTAAGTCAATTCGTTAGGAAGCCATGATAGGCAAAAGACAGGGGGCATTCTTCCAGGACACCAGGGTAACACCCCTACTATTTTTGAGAAAAGACCTGGGATTTTTAATGATATCTCCTTCTCTTTAAATCAGACAATACATACCCATATGAAACCATCTGCAATGAAAAGCTATTTATTTTTTCTGTAAAATATAGGTATGATACACTTCAGCAGATCCCTGACACAATCAAGATTATTAATTCAGTAAAACAATACCAGCGACTTGTTAGAAAATAAATCAATAAATCGATGGTTAGGATGAGCTAACTAGCTTTAAGATCAAGTGTGGTCAATTGAAGGTTCCTGACAGGGTTTAGTAGTATTAAATTGAATATCTGTGAAAACAATATACTTCTTTGCTGTGCCATTCCTGTTAAAGATAGGCCAAATGATGTTGCTGTCTTTGGCACTTATATTCCTTTGTGTTTTTTAGACACTTATTATCTTTGTTTTTAACTACGAAGAAACAAACGTAAAACAATTCCAGATCATTGCTCCTCCCCTTCCCACCCCTGCAAAAAGAAAAAATAGACTTTTGTCTAGCATTTGTGTTCGTGAGAAAGAGAAGGAGCCAAACGAGCTGAAAGTTCACACAGCTTCTCCTACCAGCACACAGACAGTTCTTCTGTGAGGTTTTTTTTTCCATGGTGGTACAACGAGTTCAAAGGCCAAATAGTGCTTATTATGTAGAAATGAATTCAATCATTTATCATTTTACTTGATTATGGCAAGCAAATCTGAAGCAATGTTTCAGAGCAGTAACCAGTAAATAGTGCCTATCGTGTGCACACTGAATGTGTGTGTTACTGAGTATTTGATTACTGAACCACTTCTGAAGACAGCAACCAATACCAGTTAAACAACAATAAAAAATATATTTGGTGTGGTAGAATTCCAGATTCTTTCGCAAACTGGAATTGCAGCTTCCTATCAAGACATTTCGAGAGCGATGTAAGAATTACAACAAACCAGTGTTGTCTATGTATTTTCTTTCAGCGCTGTCTAGAACAAGAAACTGTGCTGTTCTAGTGTCTGCTGGACAACAGACAACAGTAGGGACTGTGGCAAACTGGTGGCTCCTACATGGTGAGACAGAAACCTGCCATCCCCAGTGCCTCAGTACTGCTATCCATTGCCCACTTGCACAAATAATTGTTGTCTTGTCTGTAGAAGAGTGGCACAGCTTGGATTTGAGCAGACATACCCCAGGTAAAAGAACTGATCCCTATATTCATACTCGTCCCGTCTGATTCATGACTGGATGAGTGCATTAACTAAAAAAAGAACCCTCTGTTCTTCCGTGTCAGGGAACTTATTCGGTCATGTCTATCTTTTTCTGATAAAATACCTATTAAAGTCTCTAAATAGCAGCTGTCACTTCATTAAAAAGATTTTCTTCCTATGCCGGCATGACTCAGAAGACTACAGTGCCATAAACCCTTCAAGTTCTCTACCTCTGAAGACTGGATATGATATGATATCAGCGTGACTCCCAAATTGAAGCACTGAATGAATTAATTTCTCATTGAATCAGAAGAACTTCACCTAGCAGAACGAACACATGTTAGGAGTGTAATTTAAATAAGATTAGCTGTACAAACCGCAGGCAATTCAACTCAGGATGAATGTGAGTTCTCTGACTCACAACAACAGCCTTCCTCTTGAAACACTCACTCAAAACACTAGATAATTTAGTCTTGGGCACAAGTCCTTTATCACAGCAGTCATTAATCTTGTTACAACCTTTCCTTTTTTATGTTTATGGTCTTTCCATGGGCATTTGTGAGAAGCAGACTGCCTTAATTAACAGATAAGCACTGCAGAGTGTCCCAGAATACTAATAGGAGGCGTAGCAGGGAATTTATATTTTGAAGAAACAATAGGGCCATAAAACATTGAATGAAAGGGTATTTTTCCTGGTTTTAGTTAAAAATATTGCATCAGAGACTAAAGGCACCAGTGAGATCTTGTTCCTCCCAGTACAGTTTGATAACTACAGACCTGGACACTGCAAAGTTATCATTACTCTGCTAAATGTGGGAGTTGCGTTGGATTTCCATTGAACTTGGGAGGGTCAGGAAGACACTTTTGTCAGGACCAACATAAATCAAGCGAAGTGAATTTGACTCCATGCCATCTTGAAATCTCACTAAACCAAGGCATTTCTGACACAATCAAGCTGAGATCAAGTGGAGTTTTAAAATTACCATTCAAACAACAAAACTGAAATTATTGAGGATGATCTGATCTCCCAGATGGCCCAAATCAAAACATTAAGATAGCAATACTGATCTGTTATTTTCTCTCTGTACTCTTGATTTTTTTTTTCCAGATAGGCCTGTAAAATGAAGCAATCTTACTGGCAGCCAGTTTAATGTAATCTTATCACTGGAAACTTTACTCTGATTTATCAATTTGACGCATAACCACCTTCACGTCCGGCATAGATGAACACTTCTGCAGTGAGACTGTCTTTCTGGTTTGCCGACAGGTTTTGTTTACCGATATTATCAGACGCTCTTAAAGCAAAATTGCTTCAACCCATTTTGATGCAGCATTAAAAAGGAAAGAATAAGAACAGGCTATGACAGCAAATTTGTGTGATTCCTCCTGAATCACCTTTATGCAGAAAAGTAAAATGTTCTCTCACTCACAAGGGAGCAGTGAAACATTTCAATGGCAAAACCTTTTTTTTTCTTCTAGTTAAGATAACATGGGATGAGAATGAGTTTTATTTTCCCGTTTGCACCGACATAGTCTAACACATGTTCAAAATTACTCATAAGATAAGCTAGTTTTACCAGAATCGTCAGAAAGTGCCATTTTAAACTATCATGGCAGCTGTACAAATCTGAATTCAAGACAACAATGTGAGCAATGCTTTTCAGATAATGACTTCTACCCTTCAAGGGTGCTTCAAGTTGTGTCCTATTTTCCAAAATAAGCCATAGCCTCCATCACAACAAAAAAACAACTTCAAGCCCAAAACATAAAAGCCAAAAACAGCCGAACCATAAATCCATTCCTGAAAGAAGTATTAACATTATCTATGAATATTTATATTGCCACTTCTGGTGGCCAGGAGAAGATTAACATTTCTACCGCAGGTGAGAGTTCCATATAAAGTGCTGTCAGGAAAAGAGCCCCATTTTCTGAGAGTTGATCCTTTCAATTTGGCAGTGCATATTTTTAAAAGTTGTTTAAATTTGGAGCAGCTGTTCATCTTGAATAACAGCATCCTCTTCATTTCAAGAGGAACATTTTTAGCATTACTTCTGGCTGTACAAAAGTTTGACTGATTATGTACAATCGCAGGCTTGCAGGCAGGGAAGAGAGGCACAGTTCCCCATTCCGGATGAACTGTATTGGCCCAAACGTGAAATTCCATCAGCTCTGTCATATCCATGTTCCTACTGTCTTTGCCACCAGAGACAGTTCATTTAAGATTTCCGTCATCACCTTGTTACAAATCCAAAACAAGAGCTCAGATGTAATTCATTATTTCAGAGTCCTTCAGCAGCAGCAGGGCAGTATGAGATAAATGTTTGGATTTAGCTACCTACCTGGAAAAAACATTTTCTATGGTCATATCAGCTATGACTGACGCTGATATATTTTAAGACTACCATTATTATTAGAGGTGCCGCCTTAAAGGTAACTACACATGACATTCCCCTTACTGCAGAACATGGAGGGGTGTGTGAACACTATTTATACTGCCAATTCAAGACCCTTATCACAGACATCAGAAAACTGTGCTGGATTTGTTGTGCAGCGCTCTGGGGTCCATTAAACTAAACAATAAAACACACGTCAGCCCCAAAGCAAAAAGCCAAACACTAGACTACACCTGTCTCCCAACCTCAGCCCCTGCTACAGTTCCACAGAGAGAGATCCCCTGCACCCACACCACCTGGAGGGACCTTCTTCACTCTGTTCATTGAGCTGTAAGTGGATTGTTCCCAGTCACAAGCTTTATTTAGCACCTGAATTCACAAAAGATCACGACAATCTAATTTTACAGCATTATCCTCCCTATGGTCCCGGACAACTTTCCAGGTATTGATGGGCAAATCCATTTTATTACACAATCCAGCCACTTCTTCACCCTTCTTCAGCATTTTGCGATTTCCAGCCATTGCAGAACCCTTTTACAATTTGATGGAAACAGATTCATGGGTGGGTTGACATCCCCGCTCCTCCAATTAAGTCAATATTTATTTTCCCTGCAATTTCTTTCCTGTTAGATGCTATCCAGACCCACCTCTGCTCAGAGCTTGAACTCCAAGGTGGCATGGCATGTTGCCTGGTTACATAGAGGGGCTTTGACTATGCTAACAGGCAAAAGGACAGTCTCTCGGCCCTGTCTAGACTCCACGGAATAAACAACATCATACACCGTAGACACAGGGGAAAATACTAAACAAACAAAGTTAGAGTAAGGTCACTTAAATGGTTTTACATCAGATTCGCCTCAACATCCTTCTTGTAAATTGTTAGTGCAGCAACCTCTGGAAACATAGAGGCAAAACTAAGAAAGACTAAGATCAAGGAAGGGCCTTTGCAATTAGGACGAACGTTAAAAAAGAAAATAAGTGAGGAATTCCGCAGAGAGCAAGCACACCCTCTATCGTGAATATTTTTTTCTTACATAGGGTCTGAGTATCAGATCTGACCTTTGCCTGAAAGGACAGCAATGTGCTGAAGCTCCTTACCAGCAAAGACTTGGCTACGATGTTTTCGATGAGCTTGAAGTCATTCCGCAGCTGTTTGCTTTTGGAACTGGTCCCTTCCATTTCTTCATCAGCGTAAAAGCGGAAAAATTGCGATTCGTCTTTGAATTCGCTTTTCTCCAGCACTGGCAGAGAGAGAGTAAGGAAATAGGAATAGTAAACAGGATTAGAGTGCAGGACTGCACTGTGCACGAATAAAACACAGTGTTTCTATTTTCATATCCTGACAGGAAAGGATGCCACGAACACAAATGATTTCAATTTACAGTCTGTTAAAAGATTGTAATGGGTATTATTGTGTGTGTGTGTGTGGGGGGGGGGGGTTTGCCTTCAGAAACAGCTGCTTCAGAACAATTAGCAAACATCATCTGCTGTTAGAATGTGGAAACCACAACACAGAAAAGACTGGCACACTGCTCAGCTTGATCAGAATCCCTCAAATGCTAGACAAACAGGAAATGGCAAAAACTGATGAAGTCATGTGCTAGTGTTTATACTGTATATACAGTACAGGGAACGGTTTACTTTTAAAGGGAGAGGGATGCTTGCAGCAGTTAATGCTCAGGTATGGTAAACTTACTACCATGTTAACCTCAACCAAATATTTCCATTTAAGCCGTTTATACTTCAGCCATTACTAATGTTTAGTGGGAAATGTTCAACATATTCATTTAACAGTGTTGAGTCTCCCTCATAGCCCAATTAAACAGTCCCCATGGTGTGGAAAATTCCTGCACAGTGCTTGACAGTCTAGGCTCGAGATTCCCATGAACACAGTTTTGCAGGCATGGGCATTGTAAGACTTGAATGGGAAGAGTTTTGTGTTCTTGCTATTTTACACATCACTGAGTGTGCTTTCTCATTGCTACTGCGCAGACTGAAAAATGTCTCTTAATCGCTCGGCCCTTTATTTCACATCTTAACTGTACCCCATATTACAATGATTGTGACCAGTATCAGTGCCTATTTATCTTTTTGGATGCCTTCACTGTTTTTTGTCAGCTTCCCAGGGGCTGAAAGTGCAGGAGGTTTGGGAATGTCTGCTTCACTGCACAATCCTGTCCATGTGAGGGCATTTTACAGGAGCACTGTGCTTTTATTCTGCTTTAATGCCACACATTCATCTTTTTTTTTTTTGCTACTGGACTTGCTAGCCAGTGGATACTGTATACAGAACTGATAACAGGGAAGAAGTCAGAACTGGGTATAGAGCAAAGCCATAAAGAGGGTTTGAACTACAAGACACCAGAAGAATAGAAGCATAGACATCCAGCTGCTTCAGAAAGCTGTTGTAATTGTGCTGTCGAAGAAAAGCCATAACGAACGGATTGAGGGGGCCTACAAAAACTGTGATCAAAATCTGTTTCACATCAGCGAACATGGATCACAGCCAAGCCAGTAGCCTTCCCCAAACTCCCCTCCTCTTTCGCCGCTTGACAGTATTGGAAAAATACGAGCTGGGAATTTGTACATAACAGATCAAACACCTCAGTTTGTTATTTTCCAGCAGATTGCTAGAAAGTTTAAAAAACACCCATTGACAAGCATGTAAATTTGTTACATGTCAAAAACTGTTGCTGCATAAAGACCAGGTGAAGTCCAATCCCCAAAAAAAGTATTAAATGCACACACAAATATCAAATTCTCAAGGAAGGGGCATGTTCTTATCTATGTATATCTGGTGGGTGTTAGCTATGCCACATTAAAGCACCCCCAAAATAGGGGAAGTTTTCAGTTTTCCCACAGTAAGGTTATGTCCATGCTATAAATATTAGCACTGCATTTAGTAAAGACTCTACCGCATACAGAAATACAAGATAGGAGCGACTGCTGTGTTAGACTCTGTTCTGTGTTTGCAGTTCTCTTTGCCAAAGTTGCGTATTTTAAATATGAAAGGACAAAAAGTATGCGAAACAGCTGTTTGGGAGAACTCTGCACATGCTGTACTTTGTACGGCCAAAACAGCATCTCAGGAAAGAATTTATTTCCAGTATGCTGCTGTGTTTTTTTTTCCCTTATCTTACCATGATGCATGAAGCCATTGTTGCACAGCCCAACGCCCAGCGTGACCGCATCCTCCCTGGTGGACCAGTCTCCCTGCAGAGCCAGAGGACACCTCACTCAGCGAAACAGTTAATTGAAAGGCGCATCCCACACACAAAATTACACATAGCCAAACAAGAAGAAGAAAAAAGCACCCAGCCGAACGTCTGTCTAAAATTAGCTGCCTCCCTACTCAGGAAAGGGGGGAGGTAGCTGGCATGAAATGAAAAAGAAGAAATGTTCAAGGTCTGTTGGTACCAAAAACAAAACAGAAGAAAGGTACATTCCCCCAGAGTGGAGACTGGCCCATCGAAGGCAGGCAATACGTGTTATCTAAAGCACAAAGAGCAATGACAGATTCTTTTGATACGCTGCCCAGCTCTCTTGGTGTGGTGGTTTAAGAACAAAAAAAAAACAGAACACACCTATTTCTTATCCCTTTTGAGGCTGTCTCGTTGAGACTGATTTTAAATAAACGGGAACTTCGGAGAGGAAGGCAATCAGTGGGCAAACAGTTTTATCGCCTGTGCTTCTTGGTTCTTGCTGATGCCTTTCTGCCAGTCGCTGCTTGCACAAGGGAGATTAGCCACATTTCTGGAATTCTTTCCCTTTGCATTGTTTGCACTCCACAGCGAAAGACAGACTTACAGCAGTGGGCTCTTTCCGTGGTGCAGCTTGTAAATATGACAGCATCCCTCTGAATTTATTCAGACAGCTGCTATTTTCTAATCATTTCTACCACCTATGCCTCGTTTTCTTACTCATTCTGCCACAGCGAGAAAACACCCAGCTTGTAACCTTCCTTTAAAGTGATTAAAGTAGTGATAAGATCTTGACATGAGACAGTGGGATTCTTAAATGAGCAGTAGTAACTGAAGACAGAAAGTGCATATATACATGAGCAGTAATCTGAACCCTGTTCACTGGCATATTTTTATGGGAATTATTCCATCACAGTGAACTCCAGTGGAGTTCCAGTGGAATACTTTTAAGACGGAAGAAATGCCGCCCAGTTTAAAGGGAAAGCTCATAAAAATTTTAAATGATGTCAATAATGTAATTGATGGAGAATAAAAAGGCCTGAATAAAACAGCCATGGAAAGCAACTAACTCACATCTAGTACACAGCCTCATAATATCACATCAGTGGACAACCAAAGGGGGAAAAAAAGCCATAAAATTTGCTTTTAAATACTCTAGAAGCAAACTCATCATCTGGCTAGGAATGACATTTACCAAGCAAATAAAGAGAAAAAATACTAACAATACAAGTAAAACAAACAGGTGAGCTGACACCCAGATCCTGTCATATTCTTGCTTTACCCCAGAAGAACAAAAAGAGCTCTGGGCTGCAGCAGAGAGGGATTTCCTGAGAAAACAAAATCCTTGTGAACAAGCTGATACCCCAGTTCCCTGTCTAGTGACTGCTCCTTCATCTGCTGCTCGTTCCACATTCCAAAAGGATTCCCAGACATTAGCAGTACCTGGGGTTTTTTTATACTCATTACGTACCTTTAGCAAAATATCAGCTCACTGATAATGAAATAATAATGTGCAGAAGCCCACAAAGGCAATGCTGGGAAGGGGGGGTTGAAGAGCAGGACTCTAAAACAAATTCATTTAGACATGTTTTTGTAGGCCATACATTTCAAAACACAGAACGCAGGAGGATACCAAAAAATGTCACCCGCCTTTGGAAACCCATCTCCAAGACATATAAATTAGTACAGTGTGCTAAAACACATGATGCGTTTTCTCCATTGGGCATATAAGAGATTGGATAGAGGATGTGTGGGGGGGTTTCTTTAGAGATTCATTTACCACCCTGGCACAGCTTGGTCACTAAATATCTGGTCGTAGTCTGAGATGCGCACACACAGCTGTGTTATATATGATGTATATGGCACAGATGTTCATTTTATTCTGTCATGGCAATGTCACACATTAAGATCAGTTTTCTTACCTGAGCTATCAGCCAGTCAACCAGTTTACTGGCAGGAACGACAGACTTGAATGTTTTTAAATGGTAGTCTCTGTCCCTGCATTTCCAAAAGGGAAAAACACAAACAGCAATGTTAGATGTTAATAATGTCATTATCAATATTGACAGCAGAATATAACAGCAAAAGCTGAGTAAAGAGCAGCAAAGCACATTATTTTTATTTGGTATAGTATTATTTAATTCACATGCTTAATACTTAAGCCCTGCTTGGGGCTTAAACTTTTGAATTTCTGTTTAATCAATAACTCTTTTTTTCCAGGGAGTGGAGAGGGTGGTGTTGGAATGTTGATTTAAAAAAAATATTGAATGAAATGCTGAATTTTTTTTCAGAAAAGTGATGTGAAGAATGTGAAGAATTCTTTTAATCAGCTAAAGGGATGCTTTGATTAATTACAAGCAACATATGTTCAAAATAAAAATAAAGCTTATTACTGGAATCAAATATTTACATATTTAAGGACAACAGGAAAGACTGCAAGTGCTATGAGCTTAACAATGATCTCATGAAATATTTTAATGCATCTGCTCAGTCTGCATATAAATAAACTGCTTTCAGACTTAATATGCACATTCACACAGCTGCTTTTTAACCTGACTGGAACTGGGCTCCATCCTGTGAAATTCTTAAGCTCTTTCACGCACAGCAGGCGATTCAAAACAATCTATTTAACATTTAGCTTTAAATAGCAAGAAGCCTTTGTTTGTATGCCTTTGTAATTGAACAGCCCCAGAGAACTATAAGTGGAAATAACCACATTTCCTGACACAAATGTGCACGATCCTTTATCTGATGTTGTTCAAGAATGCCATGTTATTGATAACAAGCTGTTGTACTGCTAAGTGCTCTGCAAATGCCACAGTAGTGAAGTGACCACTGGCATTTCTTGGTTTTGTTTTAAACACAATTAACACAATTACCCAACCCCACACCCACCCTAGAAACACCCACATGCAAACTTCACATTCACTCCCACTGATTGGAGTTCATGAGTCCCAGAGCACTGCATTAGGTGTGCTCACGCTGTCCGATCAACGTCTATTTTTCTTTCTACACACATCAGTGAGGCGTGAGTGACCCACTATCAAGATTGGTATCATGGGTTGCAGAAATCCGAGTTCAAAACGTTATCACAATATATTAAAAAAAAAACATTTCTGAAGTCTCACAGCTCAGGTGAAGTGATGAACCAGCTTACCGAGCTAGGAAACAATCAAGAGCCGGGTTTAAAATCTAAAAGGCACACCTGTTCCTTCAGACAAGGTGCTAATGTTCTGTGTATAAAATCTTGCTTCAGTCACAAACTGAACTGCGGTTCAGCACAGCTGGCATTTACACCTCAACGACGGAGAATTTTACCTCGAGGCAAGTCAGATTTCTCACGTTTTCACCAGACTGGTCAAGGGATGCACAAAAGGGTTCAGGCTCGAGCAATAAAAGAATGTGATGGGAACTCAAACATCAGCTCTCTGCTCAGCTACTTTGCCACTGTTGTTTAGGTTGAGGGAATCAATGTCTCCGGGGAAGACTAATGACTGATGCGCCTGTCTCTCGGAGACAGAGATGTTTAATACGACCAGTCAGGCGAGATTTTCCTTGGAGACACCGGAAACAATTCCACACCAGCTGAATCAGCCGGTTTTTAAATTCTCCTTATTAACGGAGCGCTGGACAGATCGCAGAGCTGGAAATACAGCCCGTGAAGAGGGCGGGGGATAAGCAAAAATAAACAGTGGTTTACTGGCTGGCAGCTATGGGACAGAGGAACAAGAAGCCCTTGTCAGCCTGTACACAGAACGTTTTTCAAATTGTGCTCATTTTACTGGGGGAACGTGTGCCAAGATTTTCTCAGACTTTCCTTTAGAGCACAGAAGTAGTCGAAAAGTGGGCGCAAAGAGTCAGGATAAAAAAAAGGGCGAGAGGGCAAACTTACTTCACGACAGGAGTGAATAAGCTGTGTAGCCGACAGTACAGTCTCACCCCCTGTGGAAAAAAAACCACAAGACATTACAGAAAAGTAAGTGTCTGTTCAAATTTCCACTAACACATCATTGAATCTTAATACAAGTAGCACTCAGCCGGAACAAATCCTCTTTTTCATGCCAGAAACATTCTAAATTAGCCAGGTGTAATAATTTTACATCTAATAGAGGTCCAGGGATTCTGAGTGGCAATTTTAAAAGCAAAGGATTATTTTAATGGTCCAGGCCTAATGACACCTTTACTTCTCATTATCCATATTATATTATTCAGACTGTTAAGCAGAATGAATGTGCTTAAGGGACAGTCATGCAGAAAGCTCTGGACTAAAGACATACTGATGCAAATGTTGACAAAGACTTTAAAAAATTAGCTGTTTTGGCAAGCATAAGGGCTTACATCATTAATAAAAGGCATTATTACACAATGTCAATAAAAATCCATTCATTATCAAAGAGATGCTTGTTTGTAGAATGGATAAGAGCAACTCAAACCCCATCCTCAGCAGCACAGGGTGCAAGACAATAGCACATCTTCGAAAGGACCCTAGCCCGCCACAGGGTGCACACACACCTACACAGGGACACTTCTCAGACACCAATTAACTTAGCCAGCATTACACAAGAATGAGGGAGGGTGAGAACCCAAAAAAATCCACCAGGTGAGAACATGCAAACTCCACACAGAAGTGAAATTTTGACCCAGCAGTCCAAATGCCTCATGATTAGAGAGTTATAGGTTATAGCTTTTAAGTAGAAGGTACTATGTAGTATTATCATGGAACCAATGGATGGGTTTCACATGTACCCTGGTTCAGCTGGGTAGAATTCAGGCAATTGGACTTGAGAACTGACATCCCCTCAATGATGAAAAGCTCACCAATGAGAAGCTACAGGGATCCTTCAGGACCAGGACAGAGTACCACTGCTTCAAACAATAAGAACAATGTATTAACAAGCATGGTAATTAATTTGGAGTGATCCTAAACTAAGGGTCTTCGTTAATTACCAATTAGACCCCCACCGATCCTGAAGGAAAAGACTAAGGTGCAGCTTCCCATTGGCAACATTAATGCCCAAATAACTCATTGTGCCTTAGCCAGTCTCATTCACAGAAAGAAATGTAATGACTCCACAAAATCCACAATGTCATTCACTTATTATAGCAATGATGACATATGGTGTCACCTCTCTGTTACAGACTTTTTCAGGACTGGAACTGCCCAGACAGAATCACCTTTTCTCTACTCTCTAGCTGAAAGTTATTCATTAAAAGCGGCTCAAGTGGGGTTACCTTTGACACTATGTCTTCCATCTCACTTCTGGCTTTGTAGGTGCCATCATCATAGCGGAACCTATAGAGGACCTGCTCATTCTTGAACTGATGCTTGTCAGACACTGCAGAGGCAATGAGAGGTGAAATTAATTCTCAGCGAGAAACAGGCTTGAGCAAAACATCAAAAAGCACAATGTTCACCGACTGCATCGTGGATATTTATTTTAATGCGACTACAAGCAATAAAAACGAGTGGCTTAGGATATTAGATGAAGTGAGAGTAGGAAAGGAAAATAAATAATTCCTCCGCACTCAGCATGCTGGAAAATGGATGAGAGAGACACTCACCAGATTCCTTTTGTCACAGCCGAATAACACTATCTTAGAAAGTTTCCGACTTGGCAAGAACAGCACGGTTTAATATAATCATATATAATATAAACTCCCATATATAATATAATCATCTGGAATCCAAAGTCTTAAACACCTCCTAAATCATAAATGATGCCAGCACTGATAAGAGGTCAATATCAGTGTCTAAGAATG